GGACCTTAGGCCACTGTGGCATGTTCAATGAACCATATTTATTTTAAAAAAACAATAACTTAGCATGTGTGGATCCATACATACTGAAGGGGTGGGATGGAGAAAGGTGTGGCAGCTCCTGTTTATATTACTAGCATTGTAGCACAAATTTCCTCAAGATTAAACCTCACGATTGGCCTCAGTTCTGATAAAAGACTGTAGGAAAAGTAACCAATCATCTGAATTTGACAGCACCCACAGATTCAGAAAGAAAACATGGGGGAATATATAAACATTGCAATTCAGAGCTGTGAGGCTAGATGTTTCTGGGGGGAACTGGACTTTTCCATAAAGCAACTTTGCCTTCCGCCCAATCTGATCTCACAGTGGACCATCATATACCTCTCTGCTGTGTTCACAAGGGAGCCCTTAGCAACCATTGTCCCCGGTTCCCAATTCATTTCCTTGGCTCCATTGATTATCTGCAAAGAACAGAATGAAATTCATAAAACAAAAGAATGGAAGATTGCTTTCCCAAATAAATTCATTATAGTCTATGTCCCCTGAGATAGGCAGCAGCTCCTTCTCTCAATATACTCCCACTTCTGAGTGACTGTCAATCCTGGGGTTATCTGACTATATTGAGAGATAATCCGTAGAACCTTTGACCAGTGCAGAAAAAAACAACAACTAGTGATTAGGAGGGCTGGAGAGCTGGGCACTGGGAAGCTCCTTTCTTTGGCCAAAAAGTTCAATTCAGTCTCAAATTTCTTGGTTCTGGTCTGCATTTAATTTTCAAATGGAAGTAGGCTTAAATGGTTAGACCAGAGGAAGAAAGAGGGACAGCCAGAAACTGAAGCATGCCGAAGTTGCAAAATCCCATCTCTTTATCTGGATACCAAAAAGCCATAATCAAATGAGAGACTTAATTACCTAAATGCTTGCTTGCTTGTGCATATTATTGAAAGATAAAGGCCCATTTGAGGCAAACGTAATTTGGATGACTGCACCCATGTAGTTTTCTTTATGGTGTTACAGAAATAAAGTCCATTATCCTTTTAGAACATTGTTTGGCTTTCCAATCCTGCCAACGGTTCAGGGATTCTGTCAGGGGTCTCCAACCCTCGGTCCATGGATGGCACCGGGCTGTGACACGCCAGCATCTGGACCATGCAAACAAGTGAAGCCTCGTCCACAGGATGCAGGCAGTACTCAAAACCACATCCTCCAGTCCGTGGAAAAGCAGTTTCTCTACAGAACAGGTCCCTGGTGCCCAAAAGATTGGGGACTGTTCTAAATGATTCAAGAAGAGATTAAGGCCAATCTTGCTTTCCAGAACTACCCAGCTTGGGTTGGTGCTGACATCTGCAGAGACAGGAACATGGCTCCTATTAAGACCTGGATCTTAAGACAAGAGACTGAGGACCTAATGATGCTTAAATACAACTTCTAGGATCCCTATTGGTCCTGCTGACTTTGTTGCTCAAAATTTTGGTTCAGCAACATCCCATGAGCCAGACATTCTTTATGACATGGATCTCCAAACTTGGTGACTTTAAGACTTGTGGACTTCAACTCCCAAAATTCCCCAGGCTGGCTGGGGAATTCTGGGAGATGAAGTCCACAAGTCTTAAAGTCGTCAAGTTTGAGGACCCCTGATTTATGAAAAGGCTTTTTGAAGGAGGCATTCTGCACATGAACACTTTTTAGGGTATGTGTGTTTTTCAGGATGAGAAAAAATTTATTTGACCAGGTCTTTCCAACCTTTTATTTGAAGTCCAAACCTATGACTCATCTCTTAGAACAGCTTAAGTGGTTTTGTTTTGTTCCACTAGTCGAATATTTCTGCACATTTTATAATCCATTATAATCTTTCTTATTAATAGTTGCATTTTATCCTTTGGCTGTTATTACAAGCTGTCCGGAGTACTGTTTGCTATTGGAAGGCATATAAATATTAATAGATGATAAATAAATAGATAATGAATACTAAATAAATAAATCATGGCATTTATTTGATTCTTAAATTGCACATCAGGCCCCAACGGCAACAGCTGTGACAGGTCATAGGCCAACCTTCTAGATTTGGTTAATTCTGCCAAAGCACAGGGAAGATGGGGCGAGCGTTCGATTGCCTCTCCTGGCTCACAAGGAGGATGGGGGGCGGGGGAGAAGGCAGCCAAAATTGGAGCACAGCTTTGTAACTTACAGCACAAAGGCTGCCCAGCACAGCAGGCCCAGATGTTCTCCTCTCAATCCAGTCTGAACATGTTTGTTGTCTACTTAATGGAGACAGCTGGTTTTTTTTTTTAACCAAATAAAAGAAGGAAATGCAAAATTGTAGTCCCGGTTTTCAATGCAAGTGCAAAAAAAAAAAAAAGCCAGCGCTGCTTACATTCTTTGTGCAATGCATGCTTTCAGCTCTGCACCAAGAAGAAACCAAGGCCACCGCCATGTGTTCCCAGATGCATCTGTGCCTTTTTCGGATGCTGCTGTGCAACGAGGCAACGAGATTCTTCTTCCCACCTACCCAAATGCTTCACTGGAACTTATCTGTGTGTTTCTTTCACAGGCTCCGTGCTCTTGCAGTTCTGTCTCCAGGCCCCTGTTTCTTTAAAGCTATTGATTTCGCTGGACCAAGACCAAGCCTATTGGTATGTTCACATTAATGACAGCTCTGTTGAGTAGCAGGGAAGAAAGTGCAGTTAATCAAGTGCTCTCAAGGCTCTTGAGCAGTGTTTTCCTTCTGCTAAATTGCTGACTCTTGCTGCATACATCTTCTATAGCAAAGGACACAGTCACCTCCTGCGTAGGAGGCTCTCCTCCCTCCCCCCCCCCCCAGTAAAACTGTCTTAGCCAGCTACCTGAAGCGACAAAACAGCATTTTTCACTACTAGACAGAGAATTCAACAGGGACTAGCTGCTCTGTTTTTAGAAGTCTGTTGGCACATCAGGGGAGAGGAATCCTTTACAAGTGCTAGTACTACACAGTGTAATCAAGAAATGAGTTGTTGATCAAGGACTGACTTTCATGTCTGAATAAAAAGATATTGGCATTGCTAGCACGAAAAAAAAGAGAGAGAGAATGCAGTCATAGAATGAAATCTCCTTATTGGCCCAATTAATATTGCTTCTTTGCTGGTTGCAAGCTGAATTTCTTCTTAGGGAAGGGGATTTTTGTGTCTGTCTATTTTTGTTTTTTTTCCGGGAAGATTCAGCTACTAAAGTGGATAGAGATATGAGAGACACTTTTCTGGATTTCATTTGCAACTGACAGTGTGACCAGATCTCACTTAAAAGGTGTTATTCGTGCTAGAGCAAACACAACTCTCCCCCACCCCTCCACTGAACGAGGACAAACATAAAGAATGCGTGGTGAAGAGAATCCGGAGTGGAAACTTGAGAGGACCTTCTCACGCCATAGATGTTACCTGGTGTATACTTTCCATGCAAAGCAACTGCTGTATGTGTCATGTGACAAGACCATTTGTATCTAGTACATTAAATCTAGAATAAATCCCGCTCAGGAAAACCACAGCAAAGCCCTTGGAGGAAAGCCTACCCTTACAACGAACACGGCCAGACCTATAAAAACACGATCCTAGGACCGCCAGTTATTTCTTAGACCTGCATCTCGCCACTTGCAAACACCACTTCACGAGACCTTGTGGACACGTTAAGTGCGGGCTGGGCTTTGCTCGCTTCCCGACGGTGCGGATTTGGCTTTTGATTTTTGTTGGCGAAGTGAGGGGGGGAGGGGGCGAGGCGAGAAGGAAACTTTGGCTTTAATTCGGGGGGGGGGGAATGTTGGTGTGGAAAGAGTAAGGGGAGCCTCTGACAAGCCGCGCGCCGCACACTCACGCAGCATCGCTGTCGCCGCCGACGTGCACACACACACACACACACACACACAGCCACCCTGCAATCTCAGCCCGGCACTTCTACGGCTCCGAGCCTCTTTCCTCCTCCTCCTCCTCTTCCTCCTCCTCCCGCACAGGCGTGCGCGCACACACAGGGATACACATCCACACACACACACACACACACACACACACACACACACACACACACACATGCGCCTCCGCCGCCGCCGCCGCCACTACCACCACCCGGCACTCTCTCGCAAGACTCCGGGGTAGCGCAGCCGGGCCCTGCCGCCCTCGTCTCGGACGCAGTGCCTCCCCGCAGACCCTGCTGCCTCGCCGGCAGGCGCGATCATCTCCCGCCGCCCGCTCACCCCCTCCCCTCCCCGCCCCAAAGCAACGGCCCCTCTCGCCACGCCACCGAGGAGCCTCCATGTGTTTGGAGGAGAGGCAGCCGCCGCCGCCTCCGCCGCCGCCGCTGGTCGCTGAGCCTCTCCGCAGGCTGCTTTCCGGCGACCGCCGCTTCTCTTGGATTCCCGAGCGCGAAGGCGAGGCCAGAAGCAGCAGCAACAGCAGCAACAGCAGCAGCAGCGGCGGGCAAAGGATTCCCGCCGCCACCCCCCGCCCTCCAGCGGCAAGTGCCGCCTCAGCCGGCCAGCCTCCGCGCTCGCTTCTCCAGCCGCGTCTTCGCGCCTGCCTGCCGCCTTGCCTTGCCCGGCAACCCCAAACCGCTGAGGCGGCAAACCGCCGCCGCCGCTGCTGCTGCCGCCGCCGCCGCCGCCGCTGAACACTGACGGACGGACGGCCGCTGCCGCCGCTGGCCTTGCTTTCAGGTTTGGCTTGCTGGGTATGTTGGGGGTGGGGGAGAAGAAGGGGGAGGTTCCCTCCGGCCCGGGTTAAAAGTGCAGCGGAGGATGGAGGCTGGCTGGAAGAGGGCAGGGAGGAGAGGAGAACGCCTGGGAGCAAATCTCCTCCAGACAATAGCTGGGGAAGGGAAGGGAAGGGAAGGGGCGCTGGGTTTAGATCTTTCCCAATTGGGGATAACGGCCGAGCTGGCCAGAGACTCATCCTGAGCGCTTGTCTCCTTTCCATCTAGTGCGGCTTCCACCCCGGTCCCTCCCCCACCCCACCCTTCGCCCTGCTCCGGCTCTGACCATGATGGACCTGAAGGTGGACGAGGAGGAGGTGGAAAACGGGCAGCCGGTCAGCATCGAGGCATTTGCCAGCAGTTCCACGCTGCACGGCCTGTCCCACATCTTCTCCTACGAGCGCCTGTCCGTCAAGCGCATCTTCTGGACCCTGTGCTTCCTGGGCTCCTTCGCCGTGCTGGTCTTCGTCTGCAATGAGAGGATCCAGTACTACTTTCTCTACCCTCACGTCACCAAGCTGGACGAGGTGGCTACCACCCACATGACCTTCCCAGCCATCACCTTCTGCAACCTCAACGAGTTTCGCTTCAGCCAGGTGACCAAGAATGATCTGTACCATGCTGGGGAGCTCCTCGCCCTGCTCAATAACAGGTGGGTCAAAGGGTGGGGAGGGAGAAACCACCACCCCAACCTACCCACCCCCATGACCTGCGAGTGTGCGAAGCCAGAGGTCCCGAAGCATCTCTGGGATAGCGTGCAACAGTTGGCGCACTTGTGGTGATGGTGTGTGTGTGTGTGTGTGTGTGTGTTGGGACATATTTGAACTGGGCACTGAAGTGTGCAACGTGTATATTTTCATATAGTGATCTGACACACATTTGAGAGTGCTTCTGCGTGACGAGCTATTTAGCTTTGGCAGAACGGCATACAGTTTCCGTATTGTTGTCAAGAAAACGGCGTGGCTTGTGTCTATAAAGTCCGCAAGAGTAGAATCCAAAAGTTGAGGGAGATTTGACTTTATATATTTGGTCTGGATCTCATAAGGCTTTGGAGGTGGTTTGTGTCTGTCAGCTGACCTTTTCCCAGGTTATCTGCCCCTTTGATTCCCCACAGTCACACTCCTGTAAGGTAGGAAGGACTAAAATCGTGTCTGCTTCAAGTCACCCCAGTGAGTTCCTATGCCTGAACATTGCCAGCTCTTCTTCAAGACAGTCAGGTGGCTCCGTGTACTTGACTCCTTTCAGATGCAATGCATATCACTGTAAAAGCTGTCTGCCACCTGCTTGTGGCGAAGAGTCCCCTATGGCCCCCACACGGAGCCTGCCTTGATCCTGTGTTCCCTATTTTACTCTGTTCATGCACTTTAAGGGTGATGTGCTCCCATGCTGTGGATTGAACCACGAGTATTTATTGGAGAGCTGAATGTATCCTTGACACAAGGCAGTTAATGTTGTCTGCTGCTTGAACTCCCCTGTTTTCAGACTCCTGGAGCTGAGATCTGTAGCCAGTCACGAATCAGCCTGAGAGGGGGAATCAGAGTTTGGGCGTCCTGGATATCAGCTGCAGAGGAGCAACCCCTTCTGAGAGGAAACTGAGCCCTTGGAAGCTGAGGCTGCTATGTTTTCTAAGGGCTACAAAAAAACAGCTCCCAAGTCAGGATTCCAAGAAGCCCCCTAAAAAAAAAAAAACCCACCCCAATTTCATCTTTCTCATCTCAGCATTTTACTGCCCTCTACTGGAGAGAATTGCAACTCCCCAGCATATAAAGTAACATCTCCCTTGAACTGAGCTTGACACCTAGGAATTAACATATCTGTGTTGTTTTCTTGGCAACCACACAAAAGTGGTTGGCTAGTGTTTTCATCCAGGATTTGTTTTGACTTCCCAGTCTATAGTCTTGGGATTACCGGGCAGTCTCCCATCTAGGACTAACCAGGTTCTTAGTAAATACCTGAAACCAGGTATTGGTCAATTTGATTAGGCCAGCCTCAGCCAGGTGCTTCCTTGTAACTTGGTTCAATTGTATTCCAAAACACAGAAGGAGAGGGTGAGATTTTCTGTCAATTAGTTTTTATAGATTTTAACTCAGGATGGTATGAAATTTAAATGGAGGGAGGAGAAGAGCTAGTACTTTGATCCTCATGTTGCAAAGCTTGCTACTGGGATGGGATCTTTTTCAAGTGATGGGACTTAAAATAACGGAGGAATTTTCACGATTAAGAAGCTGGAGCAGAATGTTATTTTCTCAGTGCATCCAATATCAGAATGATTTTTCTCCGTTCTCCGTTCTTTTTTCTATTGAAGTCCATGGTTCTTGGAATTGTACTTTATCTGAGTAATTTTATTGCTTGACAATAAAATTGACATTATTGCTTGACAAATATTTCGCTACTTGCCTGGAGCAACTGATCCCCATTGCCTGTCTTGCTACCTGCTCTCTACCCAAGTGGAGTAGACAAATATAACTATAGTACTGAATCATGGGAAAAAAGCAAATTTTACAAAATGTCCCCCCCCACCCCCGTTCCTTTAAGAGCTGTTCTTTGGCCAAAATGCACTATTTCATAGAGCATAACAAATCGTCCTTTATTTCAGAACATAACCCCCCCACACACAAAAAAGAACTAGTTGGATTGGACTAAAACAAAAAAAAAATCAAGCCCTATTTCTAGTAACTGCCAGCCAGATGGTAGTGGAAAATTTAAAAATCTAAAAACAGACATTAAAAACAATTGGCCTTTCTTCCAGCCCTGCCTTTCCTAATGAGGTGTGGTGGTAGATTGCCACTGATCAAGGAGGCTTTGTTTAGCTGTCAGGGCTCAGAGCTTGGGGTAGACAGCTCCTCCATGCTTTTGCCTCTACCTCTTTTTAAAACTGCCTAATTTAATGGTCGTTAATTTAGTCGGGATTGGTTTTGTAAGTTAACACGTGGCATTTTAATGAAAAACCTGCTGCCCTGAGCTAAGCCAGTGGTCCATCTAATCAGTTGGGTTTCATGCCAATGAAGAGAGCCAGTTTGGTGTAATGTTTAAGGCACCAGCCTAGAAACCAGGAGACTGTGAGTTTTAGTGCCACCTTAAGCAGGAAAGCCAGCTGGGTGATTTGCGGCCTGTCATAACTCTGTCAGCTCAGCTCACCCCACAGGGTTGTTGTTGTTGTTGTGGAGAAAATAGGAGGAGGAAGGAGTATTAGGTATGTTCTCTGCCTGGAGTTATTTATAACGTAATAAAGGTGGGATAAGAAAAATATAATAAGTAAATAAAAATAGAAATGGCCAAATCTGGGAACCATCAGCTAAGCATATTTCTGTCACTTTATTCTGAATCTCTCTTGTGGGGGTCGAATCCAAAATTTAGGGCAGACTTGGTAGCCTGTCTTTGCTCCTTGTAGGCAGTATGGCTTGGATTTCTTGCTACCTGCTTCCTAAAATAATATGTATATGAATATATATTGTATTCTTTTCCACAACTGTAATTTGGGAAAAAGACAAGAAAAGGGGGTAGCATAGGCAGCTTGCATTTATGTAATTGTAGCAGTCCGACCCATGGCACTCATCTAATGTGGTTCTTTATACGTGCAAAATATGCCATCTGCTAATACATCAGGGGTTTTAAAAGCTCTCGTAGACAATAACTGTATATGTGTTGGTTTTGGGTGGTGATATAGAAGCCTTATGGTTTCTTGTTCTTGGTTCTTATGACAGAAGGAGCCTTGCCCAAAACCAAGAATGGGATGTCTGAGGAGCTTCAAAATTGACACTCCTGCACTTCCACACCACAAGATTAGTGATAAACTGTTCTCCTTTTCCCATTGTTCCACTACAGGGGAAAGATGGTTTTGGGATCTGGATTGTTGCATACAGTTTTGCATATTTATGGGAAATAAGCAACATATGCATAACCCTGGTAGATTTGCTTATCCCAAGAATCAAATGTATTGGTTTCTTGATGGGGAATATGTTTTCGATTTATTCTTTAATTTTGTCCAGCCGAGCAACATTTAGGGTTGGCCATAGGCTGCTCTGAAAAATTACAGTATTTTTCACATCCAAAAAATGTGCCAGCCAGATACTAATTCCTTTAAGTGCTGAGAAGCTAATGGGCTACTAGTTGACATTAGTCCCACAGCACTGGCCAGGTTTTCTCAGTCTGGGGCCATCCAAATATGACATCTTCCAAACTTCACCCGTCAGAGTTTAAATGAATCTTGAAATCATTAGATAGAAATGTCAATCAAGTAATACCAGTGAATCCATCCTATACAATTGAATGTTACAGGGCTCCTTGGAATGGTGTCATTCTGCCCATCTCTGGTCAGCCAGGGAAAGCCTCCATTCTGCTCCCTATGCCCAGCAACCTGTTCATTCCCTTCAGAAATCTGCTTAAATGCCTGCTATTTTATTTATAACCCTTATTGATTCCTTTTTGCAAATAGAAAGTAATTTAGACACGCAGAAATCAGCGTATCAAAGACACGATCAAAAGTGTTCCAGGGGATCCTGCTCGCCTAAGTCATCCAAAAGCGAATAAAATGTCGTACCGGCAAGTGTTACTGGCCAGTGTTTTCTGGCCACTAAATAGCTGCAGCATCCCAATCTAACCCCCTCTTCATATAAACAGGATCTGTACGGGGGTCATTCAAAATGGTCTACCAATTCTGGGTTATCAAAAAAAGCCACTAGAAGAGGATATATGTAGCTCAGGGTTGAACTATGGAGTCCTTGATGTACTCTTGAGTTTGTTTGTTTGCTTGCTTGCTTGCAGACCTTTCATTACCTAAGTAACGTCATAATTTTGGGGTTTGCACCCTGTTTATATGCAGTAGCTTGACCTGCCAGTGTGGTATGGTTTTCTCAAAAAGGACCGTAAGTTGCAGGCCATACTAGAAGTACTTATAGCCACCATTACACATCTGTGTATGTTGGAGATTTAGGGACAGACATTATTCCAGGTTTCACCAGCGTACTTTGCAATTCTAATTGATTCTAATAGCCTGTTTTGTTGAACAGGTGCAGACAAACTGGGCAACATCCAAATTTTGCATTTGCAACCTGCACTGATTTGGCATATGCGTATATATTGGGTGGCTGGTACTCGAGAACTATTATAGAACAATAGAAGGCCCTGAATTGTCTTCTCGACCACTAGAAAGCTTCTTCAGGGCTTTCACTGAACCTTTGCCATTTTTCCAAGCATTGACCATTCTTTTCTAGTCCTTATAGACAAGAAACTAGTTTTAAAACAAAGTGAGACTCTGGGAATTAAAGGTGTCTCAAGAATCACTATTCAAATGCCAGAATTTTAGCGTTTTGATGGCTGTCCTAGTAGGAGAACAGAGAGCATTCCTGTACGGCAGGAAAGCAACTAGTGTAGCCACTGCCCTTTTGGCCTTCTGCAAGGGCATTAACCCAGGCTCTGCCAACTGACTTGGGGTCCTGATGGAAGTGCTGTGTGCTGGAGGTGGCTGGTGGACTCATAGGGAAGAGGCCACCCCTGTACCATTCTGGCTTGTGGCCTTTCTGGTTCTGGACCTACCCAATCTTGTCAAGTATAACATTTATTATTTTAATTGTAAGCTTCCTGGAGTCCCGTTGTAGACTGAGATGGGCAAGATATACATTTAATAAATAAATAAACTAACCGCAGAGTCCAAACTGTTGTGGTGGGAGTTGAGTTTGGAGACCTCAAAAGAAGGAACTAGGTGCCTTGAGCCTTGCAAAAGACACCCATTAAACAACACTCCCCCTCCCCCGCCCCCGATGCTTCACTGTATGCCTTCCCACCACCATCACATCTCATCTTGACTCCTGCCACATTTGGAACGTGGCTTTTGACACTGTTTAGTGCAGGCTTCAAGCCAGCTGAACTTCCACTTCTCTGCTCAAATAAAAGGCGTCGTTCGCTTTTGGCCTGGGATATTCACGTTTTTCTTCTCAGGTCTCATTCAGAGCTCATTCTATCCTTTCAAAGGATGAACCTCATCCACCAAGCAAGCTAATGAAGAAGAGGCTGGGTTGAAACATTAAAGCTGGCACATCCTGTACCCCGGGGAGATAGGAAGTATTGAAAACCACTGCTTCGATTCCCCAAAGAGACATGACTCGACTGCTGTTAATGAAGCGGAGACAATGTGTATTGGTATTAAACATCCACCGGCTGTGAAGGGGGTAAATGCATACACAAATGTGTGCAAGGCTATGCCTAAACATTTTGACTGCCTCTTTCCAGAATATAAACTCAGTACACTTACACCCCTCACTGTTTCACATGCACTCCCTTCTTTATGACAAGAGTTGTCATAAAATCAAGGGAACAGCCGATATCTGCCTTTTTGTGGGGGGCGGGAGGTAGTGTGTAGCTATCGTGCAGGAGAACGGCGTCTTGGTTGCTAATGTAAAATGTGTTATGCCTTTGGAGAATGGAAAAGCTGCCTCAGTGGCAAGTGGCTGGTTTTTTTTTCTCCTTTTTTTAGGAGTAATTATATAATCTGAAGATGCCTGGTTAGTCTTGCAAGGAGTGAAGAACAGTTGCTTATCTTCAGAGAAGAGCCTCAGTGTTAGGTTTTAATTACACTGTGCTTTCACTGCTGGAACTGAGAAGTCCCAGGTGTATCTCCAGCATCCATCTGACCATCCCACCCTATCTTACAGGTGCTTTTCCTGGGAGCATCGGAGGCTCGGGTGCTTTCGCCGTGAACTGAACCAGCTCAACCGATATAACCCCTGTGACTATGTTCTGGGTTTGTTTGTTTTTTTTCCTCTCAGGTATGAGATTCCAGACACCCAAATGGCTGATGAAAAACAGCTGCAGATCCTGCAGGAGAAGGCAAATTTCCGCAACTTCAAGCCCAAACCTTTTAACATGCGGGAGTTCTCGGACCGAGCTGGCCATGATATCCAGGAAATGCTGCTCTCCTGCTTGTTCCGTGGGGAACCATGTGGCCCCGCTGACTTCAAAGTGGTGAGTGCTTGGCTTCTTGTCTCTCTGAAGATGGTGAGGTAGGGAGCAAGCATTACTTTTGGATCGTGATGTTGGGTATCCATAGAGAGAAGAACCTGTGTTGTGCACGGCGTTGGCATCATTGTGGAGAAAAGAGGAAGCAGTCTGCTGTATTGACTTGTTGTGACAATGAAGATAGGCTTATTTCTTTATTATTGCTTACATAAACTTATAGACTACTACATACAGCACATTGACTTGAAGTGTTTTGCAAGAACAGGCAGAATTTTAAAAAATGTAGCGATTAAAAAAAGAAAAGAAAACAGGCAAACAAACAAACCTCAGCCCACATTATATAAAAGCTGTGATCAGACAAAATAAAATGGAACCAAAAAAACCCAAATAGAAAATAGAAGATAAACCCAAATGCCTCTTGAAAAAGAGGCTGTCTTAATAGTCTATTGAAAACCCCAACAATTTGGGTATGAAATGGACCTCAAGGGATAAGCACAGTTTGGGGCTATTCCCCCAAAAGAGGCCTCTTGCTTGCTTTTGAGATGGAGATCCAATGCATCCTCTTTTGAGAAGACCTCACATTTTACAGAGGAGATGGACCTCAAGGTAAGCAGGAGCTGTGCCTTTTAAAAGTGCTTTAAACTAGCTATTTGAATTTTGACCCAGAAACCTACTAGCAACCAGCGCAGTGACAATTGCACAGGTGTTAATGCTGTAGAAATAACACACCTCCAGCAGCAGCAGCAGGACCCTTACAAGCTGAATTGTGTTCAAAAGCAACCTCATGTAGTGTGCATTACAGCAGTTTGATTGCAAGGCAACAAGAGCATGAGTCACCGTCAGAAGGACTTCCTCTTTGAAAAAGCACTGCAACCGTTGAAGTTGTGCAAAAGTTCCCATAGTCATGGTCTCCCTCTACTGTTCAAGCAGGAATCTTGATAACCTTCCCTTGCAGATCTGATCTTTTAAGGAGAGTGTGGTCCTTTTAGACCTAAACTAAGAACAGAAGGAAAGACTGTTTATCTACAAACAGCACTTCCATCTTATTCTGATTCAGTTTGATTTTGTTGTTGCTGCTGCTGCTGCTGCTGTTCCATACAAACTAATTTGACTAATTTCCCCCTGTATGTTCCATTTAGTCCCTCACAACTTTTAGGAAAAAACCAAGGACTTCCTCTCTTATCTCCAACCTTGCCTGGGATAGCAGTATATAATTGAATATAATCGGCACATAAAGAGCAGCTCACTCCAACTGATCAATTTATGTAACCATTAAATGGCATCAGAGAGAGAACCTAACTCTATGGCAGCCACACATCAGAATATGTACAATGGAATCATAGGTCTGAAAGGGACCTTGGAGGTCTTCTAGTCCAACTCCCTGCTCAAGTTGACAGCAAGAGTCTTATACCATCCCCGCCAAATGGTTCTCCAGTCTATTTTTGAAAACCTCCACCGATGGAGATCCACAACTCCAGGAGACAAGCTATTCCATTTATGAAGTGTTCTCACTGTTGGAATTTTTCCCCTTAATTCTAGGCTGTGTCTCTCTTTGACAGGCTTCCATCCATTCTTGCCCTGCCCTCTGGTGTTATAGAGAATAAGTCAATCACTTCTTCTTTGTGATAGCGTATTATAGTTTTAGAAGACAGTTATCATGTCCGTCCCCCCAGGCCTTCTCTTTGATTGGCTAGACATACTCAGGTTCCTCAACTGTTCATCGTGCAAGATAGCCCCCAGACCCTTTATCATCTTAATTGCTATTCTCTGCACCCTTTCTAGGATCTCAACATCTTTTTTGTATCATGGTGTCCGGACCTGGATACAGTATTCCAAGTATGGTCTCACCGGTGCAGTGTAAAATGGTACTATCACGTCTCATTGTCTTGACACTATCCCTCTGTTGATGCAGCCTAGGATTGCATTGATATTTGGAGGGACGCTGCAATGGTGGTCCATTAGGACACCTAAATCCCTCTCAGACTTACTATTGTTGAACCAAGCACCACCTGTTCTGCACCTGTGCGTTCTATTTTTCCTGCCTAAGTGCAGGACCTGACTTTTCTCACCACTGAGTTGCATCTTGTTGGATAGGGCCCACTGCTCAAGTCTGTCAAGATCATTCTGAGGCTATCCTCAAAAAGTATTAGCTATGCCCCTCAGCTGGGTGTTGTCTGCAAATTTGATGAGTTCAGCTATAAGTTCAACAAGCTCAACTATTCCTCCCTTCCAACTACCAATTGGAACTGCCCTTTTAGGAAGGATCAGGATCACCATAAAATGATTCCCTCAGCCTCACAAATGGTACAAAATACCACAGTCGATATTATTCAATGCCACCAAAATGCCCCATTGTACCAGATATGCACTCCCTTCATGTGGCTCCTGATGACCCATGCCGAAGTCTAAGGGATCTAAATAATTCATTTATCTAGGCTGTGTGACAGCTGAAGCCACACTATCTTCTTCAAAAATCCCGCCCCCCCAATAAGAAGATTAGAAAATGGGCAAAAGTTGTCAAAAATTGCTGTTTGAGAGATCCTCTGCTACGAGGGACACACTACTGCCTCCATCAAGGCAAATAGTTGTACCCCTTCCACTAATGAGGCATTTTTCCTTTCCAAAATGAAGTTTCTGGGTCCAATGCACGATGGTAGATCCTAAGCTACCCTCTCCACTTGCTTAGACTGTGAGTTCAAAAGAATCCAGGGTGATTTCTCAAGATATAACCTCACTAATCTTGCTGTACTGAAATCAAATGGCATCCAATATAAAATGAATATGAGCAACTTTATCAACAAGGACTTAAAAGCATATCACAGCAGCCTGCAAGAAAAACTTCCCACCTGCTCCTCAGCAGAAGGTTGTGGATAAGCTTGTAGAAGGCACTGGACAAGAATCTGTTCTTAACAACCCCATGTTTAGTTGCATCCACTCTTCATTCTCATAATATTGGTCTAGGCATCTCTTTTGACCCTTCAGCTTCTGGAGACCCTTGATTATCCAAGAAGCAGGATCAGTGACTATAGAGAGGCCACATGGGAGCAGTCTTGTCCAACACCTTTCCTATCTCTGAGTTCCAGAGTTCGAAAAAGCGTGCGACAGACCTTTCTGCCTGGTCCCTGGGAAAAATCCCCCATGCATCTTTAGAAAACCCATAGGGTCCATCAGGCCACCCTAATTTATTCCACACCATTGCAGAGATAGAACATAATCCACATATCGACCATATAACAACCTGACCTGATTATCTTGTCTTCCAACACCCAAACACATCTCATCTGCTCTAAGGTCAACACCAGAACTAACACCACGACTGCCTGTGTCTGCCAGCCTAGAAGTCATCTGGGAGAAACTCATAGTTACCATGGAGGACGTGCCATGCTAGTCCTATGTAAATCCTACACTTAGAGCATTATCTGAAACCCTGTCATTTCTAATGGCTTTGGGACTCCAACGCCAACCTGGCAATGAGATCTAATTGTTCAGGCAGGGTTGCTGCTGGGTAGCAGAATGATCAGTACATATCAGCAGCCATAGTTTGACTCTATGGCCCAACTTCAACTCTCAGGCATTCAACACCTGGTTATCTATAAATACCTGGTTATCTATAAAAGTATACCTAATCACAATTAAGGTGTCACAGAATGCAGCCCCAACTCCCCCTGGTCTTGGAGTTGGGGCTGCTGACCCAAACAGAGAAGGGTAAATCTTGCCATGGTTATATCCATGTCTGTGTCCAATTGTGCTTCCTTTCAATGATGCCTGGCAGGTCTGCACATTCATCTACCACCAGGTTTTGGATGAATGTGGTCTTACCACACAGAAACGTGACATTCAACAGCAATAGCCTGAGGCCACCTTCCAGACCCAGAAAGGAGGCGGATGGTTTAGAAGCAGGCGCTTTCCACAAAATGAGTCTCCTTTCTCCTGGATGGGCAAGACCATTGCATCCAGCCATACCCCCACCAATAACCCATCGCTGTAGGAATTTGTTGCTCAACATCAGCATCTTCTGAGATTTCACAGATCCCTCCCAAACTGTCCCAAACTGTTTTCATATCCTACACTAACCTACTCCCATATCACATAACTCAGTGGGGCAGCATATCACCCATGCTACCCTGTTTAGAATAGTAATAAATGCAGGATGGGTTCCCTAATACCCAACTGTGTGCTCCTTAATGTTTGCTTCCAATTTTGAGCCATTGTGGGTTCACTGCAGGGTGACAGCAGGACCATGCAGGATAATTAATTCAGTGCCTTCTGTCCAAGCTGATGACACCTACTCTAAGTTTAGTTAATACCATTTGACATAGTTAAATGATGAAATAATTACCCACCGATTTAATCAATTTAAACGATTGCTTTTTTTAAAAAAACAAAAACCCGCTGTGGGAAATATATACAGGAATCAAAGACAATTATTTTGAATAACTAATATACTTTGAGAACCAAATATAACATGTCCAAAATGTGAGTTCCTATGAAGGAACAGTTGAAGACATTTTATACCCTGGAGATGAGTTTCCTACAGACATCTGAGTTCTGTGTGATGAAGAATGTTGGGAGAGAAAAAGCTTTAGACTGATTCAGTAGGACTCGTCTTAGGGCAACATCTGGGAACTTGGGCAACGGGTACTTTATCATTTAGAGTGTTTTTGCATCCAGTACACAGGGTGCCTTGGTATATGCTAATGCCTATATGTCTCTATTAAATGGGATTAATTCCAGCTCCAAACTTATTGATTAAAAGACTATGTAAATCCAGCATGCTATTATCTCTGATGGGTGGAGCTTGCAATTCCATCTTGTTGTTGCTCTTCCCCTTCCTCTTCCCCTCTCTCTTCCTCTGTCTCCTTCTCGTTCCCATATATTTGCAAAGTGTGCTTTGTTTTGCACTGTGCTCAGCTAGTTCTTCCAGCAAAGCTATCAGTTGCATGTCGCAACAAGAGGATTTGTTTATCAGTTGGTTTGTGGCAAAGGCGGAGGTTGAACTGAGACTG